CTCAAGGCCTGAAACCGCAGAACGACGCGCTAGAGCTCAAAACGATCGGTCGGATCGGGGTCGTTACTGGCATCACGACTAATGGACAAAGATCTTCGGCGACGCCAAGGCGAGGTGTACGCGTGTGTCGATGCTTTGTACCGAGGGCGGCACAAAATCGGGTAGGGGAGAGTGTCAGGGGCTATCACATCATCATGCCACGTAGGTGCCACTTGGCATATATTTTTTCCATATGAAAAACTTACATATGAAAGACTAGCAGTGTGGGAATGTTCTAGAAAAATATGGAGCATGGAAGACCTTAGAACTCTATGGAATTGCTAGGAAAGTCCTTAGAAGATTCTGCTATGTAGAAAATTCTAGAGAAAGGACTTACTTGTAATTAATAAAGGACATGTGTAATAATTTTTATTTACTCACTAGCCCTTAGGAGACTAGTATATAAAGGGGGATATTCATTTGTAAATCACCAAGCAAAACAATCAAGTTTTCCACAGTAAAAAGCTTCCTTTGGCAAATTTCTGTTGTCAATCTTATCCAACATTCTCATAGCAATCTTGAGTGTAACATTTTAGGCTGACTTGGCACAGCAAGATCGTGCGCGAGTTGTGCAAGATCGTGAGAAAGTTGTCAAGTGCCGTACGTGCGCTTAGTTTAAGATTAAGAACGTGACATAAGTCTACATTAATTTCAACGATTTTTAAATCTTTCGAGGGGCATATAGTAATTACACGTTACTGAAAAAGACCCTAAATAAGTATCTCGTGTTATTTCAAAATTGATTTGGCAGCACAGTAAATATTCTTTTTCTCTATATTTTAACTTAGTAGTGTACTTTTGCTTAAATAATGTTTTACTAATAAGTAGCTATTAATTTTATAACCGCGCAAATACTTTGAACCCCTTTTTTGACTTTTTAGGACCACAAATTCCAAAAGTCTTATTTTTTCTTAAACTTCGTACCGAGTCAAACAGGTTCACATAAATTAGAACGGACGGAGTACTTATTACAATAAGAGGAGTACGGCAGTTGTGATGTTATTGCTTCATGACTTAATCGACAGAGTGATAAAAGCCCCGTTTGGCCATGAGTTTTGTCAAAATAAATTTGGGATTTATTTTCAAAACTCATGTTTGGCCATAAATTTTGCCCATATTTTGGCCAAATCCCAAATCCCAAATTTTAAATCTCAAAATCAGCTATTTGAGCTTATTTTGGGCGAAAATCCCAAAACTTGGGAATTATATACATGTTTTTCCAAAATAAAGTTGAAAAATATGTTTTGAAAACGTATGTCCAAACACATTTTCATCTTCAAATCAAACTTCACCCAAATCAGATTTTTCAAAACAAATTTGGGATCTATGGCCAAACGCTAACAAAGAAAAAATGTGTTCGCTATCAGCAAAGCAAAGGACAGTTAAGAGAGAGAAAAAAAAACGCAGATATATCTTCATTTCTCAATGTCAATACTTCTACTGTCAATTGAAATTTTGTCGTTCTTCAAGTAGTCTGTTAGTTGCACCAAGCTTGACATGCAAATATCCGTACCCCTCTATTTATAGTATTCCAGAGCTTCCCCGTATAAGGCACAGAATTATGCACGTACGCAATCATCTTAGCCACTTACCTAGCTACTTGAATGCTACGCGGTGCTGTCACAAAGTACCAACATAGAGATTTAAGCACATGCTTTAGTACTGCCTTTGAGTTATTGTAAGCCCAGAGCTTGTCTTCCTTTTATGCTACTAGCCCTTTTGGCCAAGCTTCTAAAATTAGCTTATTTCGAGAAGTGATTTTTTTAAAAGTACTTTTTAAAAAAGTACTTTTGGTGAGAAGCAGTTTGTGTTTGACTAATTAATTTGAATAGCACTTTTGATCAGTAATTAGTGTTTGACCAAGCTTTTGAAAACTGCTTCTAAGTATATTTTTCTCAAAAGTGCTTCTCATAGAAGTGCTTTTGGAGAGAAGCTACTTTTTTCTGCTTCTCCAAAACTGCTTCTGCTTCTCCTCAAAAGCATTTTTTTTCCTTCCAAAAGCTTGGCCAAACACATCAATTTTTGGCCAAAAATGCTTTTGACCAAAAAAAGCACTTTTGGCCCAAAATAAAGCTTGGCCAAACAGGCTATACTACTTCTGGCAGGAAATGTATAGTTTGGTGATGGGAAATGCTTCATTCTTAAATAGATTTTGTGGGATGAGAATTTGAATTAGCCACTTGGAGTGTTTAATTGGTAATGGGGTCAGTTAAGGTGTTTGTATGGTTGTTGAGGACAACATAAAGGGGCCCGTCTATGTATTTCGCCTTGATTTTTCGAATGTCACTTCTGGCTTGTGTTCTACTTTACGTGCAACTATTACCATCTGAGAAGTTACAATGGTTCTATTTTAATGGAGGTTTATCTTAAATATTTTAAATTATTCGTTGTTCTTATTATCCTACTTTTCATGTAATTGTATTTTATTTAAAAACTTGAAATGTCTATATTGAAATTTACACCAAAAATTAACACACATACTATGAATCCCACCACATAAAGGCGAAATGAAAGGATTATCGACTGCTTTAATACACATATCAACACAGTTGCAGAATCAAAAAATTTACACAACATGGTTCTAAGTTGAGAACCTATGTTTGTTGTTTCCATGTGACTTGAAGGTCACGGGATTAAGTCGTGGAAACAACCTTTTACAGAAATGTAGGGTAAGGCTGCGTACAATAGATCCTTGTGGTCTGGCCCTTTCCCAGATTCCGCACATAACGGAAACTTAGTGCACTGGGCTACCATACCATTTGGGTTCTAAGTTGAGACAGCAACTAACAACAATATAAATATGTATAAAGAGCTTGACTCTAACACAATGAATTCTGTCAAAGTACCCACCCCCCAACTACCCCACTGTTGCATCTGCAGTAGTGGAAGATAGTCGGGCGTACTTTCGAGACAAGGCCAGTTACTACTCTCTCCGTTTTTCAAATTAGATGAGATACTTTCTTTTTTGGTCTGTTTCACAATAGATGATACATTCTGAAATTTAGAAATAATTCAACTTTAAACTCTTCATTTTATCCATTTAACCTATAATGAGAAGTTTTTGTAACCGCAACAATATCATGGCCCCACAAAGGCTTTGCCCTTTAAGTTTTTAAGACTACAAGTTTCAAAAGTCTTTTTTTATTTGAACTCCGTACCGAGTTAAACTATCTTATCTAAATTGAAACGGAGGGAGTAGCGAGTTCTATAGATTAGAGAGAAAACAAAATAGTACATATATATTTCTTAGTAGCTTTTACTTTTTTCCCTTAAACTCTCTCGGCTTAGCTCAAATACGAGTACCCTATACAAATAAAGGTTTATCTTATACAAGAAACTAGGACGGTAATTTATCGAAGAACTGTGGCACTTAAATTGGACAATCAGTTTTTTAATAGTAGGAGATGGCTAATCTTGGGTAAGCTTCCCAGCACCGACGTACAGATATTTATAGTGTCCCAAATAAGAGAAAAGGAGAGATAAAAATTAGGAAAGAAGTTACTCTGGACTTGAAATTCGATATATATATTTTATATAGTCCTGTCAAGTTCCAAATAGTCCCTTTGTTATTTTAGAAATATGGGTTCTTTTCGTTTTTCAAGGTATCTATGTTCGAAACTGACCTGATTAATTCGGATAAGCCGCCCGTAGGAAGCCCACTAATAAGGGGGTTTTAGCGCTCCCTACCAGAAAAACCCAATTCCAGAGATCGAATTCGAGACTATTGGTTAAGGACAAAAGAACATTTACTATATTCCACCACATTTTTATGGTAAAACATTTACTCGCGTTACAAATATGGGTGAAGCTACGCTATGATAATTGACCACCCTTCGCCGAAAAATTACATTACATATATAGGTAAAATATTAGGTTTTACAGGTATATAATATATATTGAACACCCTTTATTTATTTTTTTACTTCTTTCAAGTTTGAACACCTTAGAGAAAATTTCTGGCTTCGCCACTAGTTACAAACATGAATATTTCAAGCCTGTATACTTGGTATTCTTCGTCTTTTAACTCCTTATCATCTTAACTCAATAATATTTCAAGCTTTTAAACTTGACAGTACTCTCTCTTTTCTGAACTCCTTATCGTCATAAATCCCTAACTAATATCTACAGACATGATTTAACATCTGATAGGTACAGTTCCATGCATGTACACTTAAACATCTCTCTCTCTCTCTCTCTAAAACGAGAAGAAGAAGAAGAATGTTCATTAAAGTATGTGAAGCTGTTATACCAGAACAACCTGCTGTTTTCTTTCTTTATGGAGTACATTTTATGCAAAAAACATCTAACCACATCAATTTTTCCCCACATTTCATTCTCTAAGGTATTTTCTTATCTGTCTGCGGATCTAACATAACTTGCTCATAAGTAGCTAGCCCAGGTAGCCAACACCGTTAGCCCAAGAACTCGTACACACACAAAACAAGAGAACATACGTGTACCACCTTAGGCTTGACATTATGGATTTAATTCTGGGATGGTGTTTGGCCGCACTACTCTCCTAAGATATGCATGCCATAAATTCTAATATACACTTATATGGTGTAAAAAGTACCCAATCAACGCACCTGTTGCAGCAGAAAACCTTGCTATATATTACAGGTTAGTAATTTCACTTATTATCACGATCAGGGGCGGAAGTAGTCTGCTAGTTATGGGTTCAACTGAACCTATATCTTGCGATGCGTATTAAAAATTTGCATATTCATTAAAATTACAAAAATAGTAGATACGAACCCATAACTTACAAAAATATGATGGGTTCAATTCTAAAAATCTTAAAACTTATTGAACTCATAAAGTTTAGATCCTGGATCCGCATTTGTTCACAATTATTTATAATTGTATTTTAAGTCCTAGCAAATCTTTAGTGGGTCAGATTCAAGAATTTAGTCACTTCATGGATGCTCACTTCTTCTCTACTTCATTTGAGAAAAGAAAAAGAAGAGTAAAGAGAGAATTGCATATACTAAAATCATTTCATTTACATAACGTCTTCTTCTTTCTGAAAATTCAAGGAGGCAGGCTAATTAAAGCAGTGGTAATTCTTAAAATTGTCTGTCATGAATATCAAAAGCTTTAAATTTCCTGCATGAACTGATGGAGAAAAACAGAAACTTTGGTCCTCAAGATTAATGAATTTTAATTAGCTTTAGACTAGAGTACTAGTAATTCACAAGTGTAGATCTAAACTCACATGATCTTTAACTCCTGCCTTTGTTTCATATCCGAACCCTCTTTGAGAACTTGAGCTGTTGATGATTGAAGAAGACTTGAAATCCTCATTATTAGCAGCAAACACTGGCAATGGCATATTCATCGATCGTTCACGGCCAAAATTAGGCGAAGACGAAGAAGTATGATGAACACTAGTTGCTGCTGGAATCCTCCATAAAGCTAAAGGATTTCCATTTATAGGAGTTTGATGAGAATTATAAGGGGTAGTAACAGTAGTATTAACATGGTGGTGGCTTCCATAAAACCTAGTAGCACTGTTAATATTGTTGGTTGTGTAGTGATGATGATAAGCTGCTGTTGGTGCACTACCAAGACGATGGTAATTCATTATTCCATAAATATTTGCCTCTGTTAAAGCACCATGTACCATTGCAGATTGAAGATGTGCTCTTTTAGCATGCTGGCGTTCTCTCTTATGAGCATTTTGATGTCCTCCTAGTGCTTGTGAAGTCGGAAAATTCCTGCAACAATAATGGCACTCGAATTTTCGACTGCTCTCACTGTTGTTGCTAATATGGTCTTTGATTTCGTCTTGGCTAGGGTTTGTTTCAATGGATTCTGACTCTTCTGTTGCAGCCATGGAATCACCAGCCGCACCAAATTCTTTGCCAAAAAGCCTAATGGCCTTTTCTTTAGCTGGTGCTGGTCGAATAAAGGGTAACTGAGAGAAGGACTCCACGTTCATGAAATCACGAGTTTCTCTGTCTGTTTTCTCCATGGATTCTGTACGTGTCTGTGTGAAAATGAAAAAAAAGCTAGAAATGAGGGCTTGGAAGGAAAAAGAGTAGAAGGCTAAAGCAGAAGCAAAGGAGTTTGTTGTTGTCTATATTTCTTGAGTTAGAAAGAGGACGGGGAGTGAGTAAAGGGGTAGGGGGTAGGGGGGGGGGGTGCTTAGAGGGACCAAGGATAAATGAAGTGGTCTGATCCAAGGATAATTGGAGCTGACCCCTTCAACATATTTGTGTGATTCCTGAGACTTTTCAGAGCCCCACACAAATTTTGGTGCATCCTAAAACCTTATTTTTATTTATTTTCTTATAATTTGAATATTTTTAATTGATAGCGCATCTTGAAAGTATCTACCTGTACAATTAATTCATACTTCCTAATTGTAAAACCAATACTTTGTTCAGTACCGAATACTATTCGTTTTAACAAAGTAAAGTTGTTTGATCAATTTGAAATATTTGATGTTTTAGAAAAATAAGATATCATTTTTACCTTTTCCCATTTCTTATTTGGTGCTATGTTAATGAAGTGAAATGTTTAAAGAGTGATATGTAACATACGAAAATACTCTTATGACTAATTGCTATAAATTTCCTTCTTAAAAAATATGTACAAAATCTTAAAAGGATATAATATAGACTATATATATATACCCAAAAGAAAAATTGTAGTACATGTGGTTCAAAATTCATGGCATTTATTGAACTAACAAATCAGTGCAATTGATACTAATGTATCAAATGTGGATAGGTAATTAGCATTCACTGCTACTATATATGGTGCCCTCCATTTATAAGCTAATAATTAAAAAGGAGAAATAAATTGACCACTTCACACAACTAAAAGATTTAATTATGTCCAACTTTCTTAAAACACAGGATATTTGTCTCGTTTATGCCTGAATATAACTATGCCTAAATATATCCTTTCGTCTTAATTGCTCTACTATTAACATATTTGCCACAAATCACCATTTCTTCTTTTAATGAATGAGAAATATTTCCAAATATGCAATATGATTACCAAGTTTGGACGTGAAATCCAAATTTAGTTCTTTTAATTCGGTATCTGTCAATTTTATTGAAACATTTGGCGTTAGCTACCTCAATTAATTTCAAACCATTCTACTTTAGGGCCATACTGAACAAATGAGACAAATTCTGGACCACGGAGTATTTTTTCCCAATCAATAGGACTTCAAAAATAGATAACTAGGTTTTGAATTAATTTCCCTAATAGATCTTGTACATGCAATTTAAGTTGGAAGAATAAGAGAAAAAAAACAAATTAGCTATTTCTTGTGGTCCATCTCTAGCAGGACCAGGTACTTGTAGTTGGTGATTCATCTTTATTAGTGTTTGTTATTTTCTGTTTTTTTT